TCAGACCATAATGCTTTGAAACTAGAACTCAATCACAAGAAGAAATTTGGAAGGATTTCAAACACATGGAGATTAAGGACCATTCTGCTAGAAGATGAACGTGTCAACCAGGAAGTTAGAGAAGAATTAAAAAGATCCATGGAAGCTAATGAGAATGAAGATACAACCCTTCGAAATCTTTGGAATACAGCAAAAGCAGCCCTGAGGTTGAAATACATCGCAATATAAGCATCCATAGAAAAACTGGAAAGAACTCAAATACAAAAGCTAACCTTACACCTAAAGGAGCTGGAGAAGAAGCAGCAAATAGATCCTACACCCAGCAGAAGAAGAGAATTAATAAAGATTCAAGCGGAACTCAATGAAATAGAGACCAGAAGAACTGTGGAACAGATTAACAAAACAAGGAGTTGGTTCTTTAAAAGAATTAATAAGATAGATATACCACTAGCCAGCCTTATTAAAAAGAAGAGAGAGAAGACTCAAATTAATAAATCATGAATGAGAAAGGACAGATCACCACCAACACCAAGGAAATACAAACAATTTTTTAAACTTATTATGAGCAGCTATACGCCAATAAATTAGGCAATCTAGAAGATATGGACGCATTTCTGGATAACCACAAACTACCAAAAGTGGAACTGGAAGAAATACAAAGCCTGAACAGGCCACTAACCAGGAAGGAAATTGAAGCAGTCATCAAAACCTCCCAAGACACAAAAGTCCAGGGTCAGATGGCTTCCCAGGGGAATTCTATCAAAAGTTTAAAGAAAAAAACTATACTTATTTTACTAAAGCTGTTCAGAAAGATAGAAAGAGATGGAGTAATTCCAAACTCATTCTATGAGGCCAGCATCACCTTAATTCCAAAACCACACAAAGACCCCACCAAAAAGGAAAATTATAGACCAATATCCCTAATGAACACAGATGTAAAAATTCTCAACAAGATAGGATCAACAAGATAGCCAATAGGATCCAACAATACATTAAGAAGATTATTCACCATGACCAAGTGGGATTTATCCCCGGGATGTAAGGCTGGTTCAACACTCATAATGCAATCAATGTGAGAGATCATATCACCAAGAGAAAAAACAAGAACCATATGATCCTCTCAATAGATGCAGAGAAAGCATTTGACAAAAGACAGCATCCATTCCTGACCAAAACTCTTCAGAGTGTAGGCATAGAGGGAATATTCCTCAGCATCTTAAAAGCCATCTATGAAAAGCCCACAGCAAATATTCTCAATGGGGAAACACTGAGATCCTTCCCCTAAGATCAGAAATAAGACAGGGATGTCCACTCTCACCACTGCTATTCAACATAGTACTATTAATCCTAGCCTCAGCAATCAAGCAACAAAAAGAAATAAAAGGCATTCAAATTGCAAAGAAGTCAAACTCTCCCTCTCTGCAGATGACATGATACTCTACATAGAAAACCCAAAGACTCCACCCCAAGATTACTAGAACTCATACAGCAATTTGGCAGTGTGGCAGGGTACAAAATCAATGCCCAGGAGTCAGTGGCATTTCTATACACTAACAATGAGACTGAAGAAAGAGAAACTAAGGAATCAATCCCATTTACAATTGCACCCAAAAGCATAAGATACCTAGGAATAAACCTAACCAAAGAGGTAAAGGATCTATACCCTAAAAACTACAGAACGCTTCTGAAAGAAATGGAGGAAGACACAAAGAGATGGAAAAATATTCCACGCTCATGGATTGGAAGAATTAATATTGTGAAAATGTCAGTGTTACTCAGGGCAATTTACACGTTTAATGTAATCCCTATCAAAATACCATGGACTTTCTTCAGAGAGTTGGAACAAATCATCTTAAGATTTGTGTGGAATCAGAAAAGACCCCGAATAGCCAGGGGATGTTTAATATTTTTTAAATTTATTTATTTATTTATTTATGATAGAGAGAGAGAGAGAGAGAGAGAGAGAGAGAGGCAGAGACACAGGCAGAGGGAGATGCAGGCTCCATGCACCGGGAGCCCCACGTGGGACTCGATCCCAGGTCTCCAGGATCACGCCCTGGGCCAAAGGCATGCACTAAACTGCTGCACCACCCAGGGATCCCCTAGCCAGGGGAATTTTAAAAAAGAAAACCATATCTGGGGGCATCACAATGCCAGATTTCAGGTTGTACTACAAAGCTGTGGTCATCAAGACAGTGTGGTACTGGCACTAAAACAGACACATAGATCAATGGAACAGAATAGAGAACCCAGAAATGGACCCTCAACTTTATGGTCAACTAATATTCGACAAAGCAGGAAAGTCTATCCACTGGAAAAAGGGCAGTCTCTTCAATAAATGTTGCTGGGAAAATTGGACAGCCACATACAGAAGAATGACACTAGACCATTCTTTTAAACCATACACAAAGATAAACTCAAAATGGATGAAAGATATCAATGTGAGACAAGATTCCATCAGAATCCTAGAGGAGAACACAGGCAACACCCTTTTTGAACTTGGCCACAGCAACTTCTTGTGAGATACATCCATAAAGGCAAGAGAAACAAAAGCAAAAATGAATTAATGGGACTAGATCAAGATAAGAAGCTTCTGCACAGCCAAAGAAACAGTCAACAAAACTAAAAGACAACCTACAGAATGGGAGAAGATATTTGCAAATGACCTATCAGATAAAGGATCTGATACTTTAGTTCTTACTATCCAAGATCTATAAAGAACTTATTAAACTCAACAGCAAAGAAACAAACAATCCAATCATAAAATGGGCAAAAGACATGAACAGAAATTTCACAGAGGAAGACATAGTCATGGCCAAAAAGCAGATGAGAAAATGCTCGGCATCACTGGCCATCAGGGAAATCCAAATCAAAAACCACAATGAGATACCACTTCACACCAGTGAGAATGGTGAACATTAACAAGTCAGGAAACAACAAATGTTGGAGAGGATGTGGAGACAGGGGAACCCTCTTGCACTGTTGGTGGGAATGTGAACTGGTGCAGCCACTCTGGAAAACTGTGGAGATTCCTCACAGTGTTAAAAATAGATCTGCCCTACTACCCAGCATTTGCACTGCTGGGAATTTACCTCAAAGATACAGATGCAGTGAAACACCGGGACACCTGCACCCCGATGTTTATAGCAGCAATGTCCACAATAGCCAAACTGTGGAAGGAGCCTCGTTGTCCATTGAAAGATGAATGGATAAAGAAAATGTGGTCTATGTATACAATGGAATATTACTCAGCCATTAGAAAGGACAAATACCTACCATTTGCTTCAACGTGGAGGGACCTGGAGGATGTTATGCTGAGTGAAATAAGTCAATCAAAAAAGGACAAACATTTTATGGTCTCATTCATTTGGGGAATATAAAAATTAGTGAAAGGGAATAAAGGAAAAGGAGAGAAAATGTGTGAAAGTATCAGTGAGGGTGACAAAACTTTTGAGACACCTAACTCTGGGAAGTGAACAAGGGGTAGTGGAAGGGGAGGTGGGCAGGGGGTTGGGGTGACTGGGTGATGGGCCCTGAGGGGGGCATTTGGTGGGATGAGCACTGGGTGTTATGCAATATGTTGGCAATTTGAACTCCAATAAACACTTTTTTAAAAAAAGTGTTATGAATTGATCATCCTGGATGTACTTATAGGATAATAGTTAATAAAAGTATTCATTTTTGTCTATAAAAAAGGGTTACTATCCAAATTATATAAATAATGTATGCAGCTCAACACCAGAAAAATAAATAATCTAATTTAAATGGTCAGAAGATGTGAAGAGACATTTATTCAAAGAACACATACAGATGGCCAACAGATACATGAAAAGATGTTCAATATCATTAATCATCAGGGAAATGTAAATCAAAATGTCAATGAGCTATTGCCTCACACTTAGGAGAATAGCTACAATCAAAAACCCAAGAAACAAGTGTTGGCAAGGATATGAAGAAAGGGGAACCCTCTTTTACTGTTAGGAAAGCAAATTGATGCAACCACTGTGAAAAACAATATGGAGTTTCCTCAAAAAATTAAAAATAGAATCACCATATAATCTAGCAATTTCATTCTGCCTATTTACTCAAAGAAAATGAGAACACTAATTTGAAAAGATATGTGTACCCCTATGTTTAATGCAGCATTATTTATAATAGCCAAGATATGGAAGCAAACCAAGTGTCCATCTATAGATGAATGGATAATGGTATTCCATATATACAATGAAATATTACACAGCCATGAAAGATAATGAAGTCTTGCCTTTGCAACAACATGGTTGGATCCAGAGATTATAATACTAAGTGAAATAAGTCAATCGGGGAAAGGCAAATACCATATGATTTCGCTCATATGTGGAATTTAAGAAACAAAACAAATGAACAGAGAAAAAATAGACAAACCAAAAAACAGACTCAAGTATAGAGAACAAATTAATGGTTACCAGAGGGGAGGTGGTTGAGTGATGGGTATAATAGGTGATAGGGATTAAAGAGTACCCTTGAAAAAAAAAGAAAAAAAAGAAAAAAAAGAGTACACCTGTCACAATGAGCACTGAGTAATGTATAGAATTGTTATATCTCTATATTGTATACCTGAATCTAATATAACACTGCATGTTAACTATACTGGAATTTTTTTTTGAAGTTCGACTTGCTAACATATAGTATAACACCCAGTGCTCATCCCATCAAGTGCCTTCCTTAGTGCCCATCACCCAATTACCCCATCCCCCATCTCCCCTTCCACTACCCTTTGTTCATTTTCCAGAGTTAGGAGTCTCATGTTTTGTCACCCCCCCCCAATTTTTCCCACTCATTTTCCTTCCTTTCTCTTATAATCCCTTTCACTATTTCTTATACTAGAATTTTAAAAAACCCTTTTTTAAAAAGGAAGGCACTTGAGGTATAAAATGGTGTCTCCTCTTGCTTTTCTTCATTCATTTATCTTTGTATTATTCACCCTCTGACTACCTTTCTCTACTCTTATCTCCCTATAGTAGCCGCCTTAAGAACAAGATGTGGTATGGCCTTCTTGGAAGCAAGGAACTTTTCCAGCGCTCTTATAGGAAACTGGAAGAACGAGTACACCTGGAGGTGAGTGGAAAAGGGGGCAATACTTCTGGGTGTGGAGAAAGAAAATCTCATTACTTTGGGAATCAACTTTCAGCGTATCTTTGGTTCTTCTCAAGCTTTAACTCTGATTCTCCCTCACAGCTTATGGGAGAAAGGCATAAAGATAGATTTCCATTTTATGGATAAGAAAACGGTAGCATAAAGAGAAGACAGAGTCCTTTCCCCATCTCTGTAAGTGTCCCTTCACATTGGTATCTGAAGGGCCAACCAATGAGAACTACTCTTTTCTTTCAGTGTGATGGAGAAGCCATCTCCTTGCCAAACCTTCAAGGCATTGTAGTGCTCAACATTACCAGCTATGCTGGAGGTGTCAACTTTTGGGGAAGCAATACAGCAACTACAGTGAGTATGGAACAAGGAACAGGGAAGGAAAAAGGCTTGACCCCTCAAGGTCTCTCTGAAAGGGTAGCTGGACTGAATGGTGTAGGAAGTAGACAACGGGGGAATAGGAGAAAGACTGAGAACCTTTATTAGCTCAGCTATGTGATCCGAGTTTTTTTTTAGGGAAATTGCCATTGCAGAGCACAAGAATCAACCAAAGGCCTTAATATCAGATCAAATCTTAGGTGTTGCCTGGACTTTGAATTTTCTACTTGTCAGATCTGAAAGATCCTTAAAAGGTTTTTCGTTTCTCCAAGGAGCTCTGTCAATAAAACCTTCTGGGAAATTGGCCATCACCACTTTCCTCTGAGCTCATTCAAGAAGGTCATGAGGCCAGTGGGACTGGCCTTGGGGATTTATGATACTAGATTGGACAGGAAGGAACCAGCTAACAGTTGAGATCTCAAAAGGGGCTGAGAATTGTGATCTCAGTGCCCTTTTCCCAGAGTGGCTTCCTTATTTCATCTTTTCCCTTTTAATATGTAGTTTTTCTACTTTTCATGAACTAGAAAAATTTTCACCAGGAGCCTTCAAAGCATAAATTATTGTGATAGACAGGGAATGGTTTCTCAAGGGTGGGATATGTGACACAGTTTTTCCTCCTCAGGAATATGAGGCTCCTGCAATAGATGATGGGAAGCTGGAGGTAGTGGCTATCTTTGGTTCTGTACAAATGGCAATGTCCCGTATCATTAACCTGCATCATCATCGTATTGCCCAGGTAGGCAAGGGTCAGATGGGCACCAATAAAGGCTGGGCTTTGTGGCTACAACCCAGAATGTGGAGTAGTCCCACAAATTAACTAGATGTAAGAGTGCCAGGGTAGAGGGAGGCTATCTGGTGGGTGGTAAGGTCCTGGCTAAGGTTGAAGACAGAGGTAGTGGGGACCAAAAGGAGCAAAAAGCCTATAGGAAACAAGTGTTGTCTGCTGAGATAATCTGATTCACATCTCTGCCAGTCCTGCTTCAGATACACATTAAGGCCATTATTGTGGGATTATCAGATTGATCTGTAGTAGTTGCCTCACTTTTCTCCCCCACTCTCCCTCCTCTTGTCTGGTAGTGCCGTGAGGTGATGATAACCATTGATGGTGAAGAAGGTATTCCAGTGCAGGTGGATGGGGAGGCCTGGGTTCAGAGGCCTGGCCTTATCAAGATTAGATATAAGAATGCTGCCCAAATGTTGACAAGAGATCGGGTAAGAAAGGAAAGTCTCACCTTTCTCCTACATTGTCTCATCTACAGCTGTCATTTGAGTATTGAATACTTCCAATCAAGCAGAATTACTCAAAGGGAGGTCTGCATGCCAGTTATATCAGAGTCACCTTGGATGCTTATTAGAAATGCATATTCCTGGGCCTCACACCAGATTCAGTGAATCAGAATGGGGATGGGTAGTTCCTGGGTATTGCATTTGTAAATACGTTCTCTGACACATTCTGCTATATACTAACATCTGCAAACCACTGTCCAATAGAGTGAGACAAGGAGCTTTCTCCTTTGATTTTAGACAAAGTTGTTCTGCTCCTCCCACTGAACAGAGAGCTAAGGGCCTCAAGTAGCTATGGAGAAATCTCCTTTAACAAGAGATTCTTCATTGAATATGGTCTTTAAGTGCCTCTAAAGTTTAAAATGCTGCATTTACAAATGTCACCCACTTCAGTTAAATTATCTAAAGGTAGAAAGAAGCCATTATTGATCAGATGTTCAGTGCCTGGAGGCTTTTCTGACCTGTAAACAGACTGACCTGTGAACAGTCCACAGAAAGAGCAATAGTGAGGGGATGGGAAGTCTAGTTTACAAACTGCCTATTTTGTGCTGGGCACATGTACTCTCTCAAGTAGGTCCTCCCAACAATCCTATGAGATAGATACTCTCATTCCTGATTTACAGGTGAGGGAAATGAAAACCAGAGAGGTTAAATAATGTGTGTTAGAGATCACACAACCAGTAAATGACAGAAGCACAATTCAAAATTAAACTAGTTATATCTGGCCCTATAATCCATCACATTTGGCCTAGATTTGACAAAGAAAGGAGTATAGAAGGTACTTCATTGTCTTATGATTATTATGCCCTCATATAAGAGCTTCTGGAAGGTGAACATCTATCTGATTGAAGCATGTGGTCCCAAGATGCAGCACAGTAACAACAACAATTAACAGTGCCTAGTAGGAAAGGGATAGTGAATAAAATAAAGGATAGATGTGGAGGTGTGTAGATGAGTATATAGAAGAGTGGATGGGATTCTCTTTCTTGTTTACCCTCTATACCCACAAATATCAGACTTATAAACAAATCTGTCACGTACCTTCTTAGCTATAGTGATCATCAGGATCTGCCACTATCTTCATTTTCAGGACTTTGAGAACTCAATGAAAATGTGGGAGTGCAAGCATAGTGAAATTCAAGCTGCCTCTCAACCCCAGCTGGACTCCCAGGAATTTCAGGATAGCCTCTCTGATGAGGAGTATGCCCAGATGAAGCACTTAGCTCGACTTGCAGAAAACCTAATTAGCAGGTAAGTGGACTGGCCCAGATACAGGGCTGGAAATCCAAAGAACAGATAGGGAGAAGGAACTAACTTGTGTCTATTGGTTGCTAGAGATCGTGGCCTCAGAAAGGAGTCTTTCCCAGAACTCTGAAGATTGACAGGGACCCTGACAATCCAGGCAGGAAATAGTCTTTGTGCTCAGCAATAAGCCAGTTTGAACCTCTTCCTTTTTAGCCTCAGAGATGAACTTTGATCTCCTGCCCCAGACCCAATAGGACTATTTTTTCTTGCCCTTAAATATCAAAAGGGCCTCCGAGTTCTCGAAGTCAGCTTCCCTTCTCTAGCCTGGCCTCCCACTCTCCCAAAGCACCCAGTATCTAACTCAGCAGAGATACGGATGGGTAAAGACAAATACCTAGAGAAAAGCAGAAACATTTTCTGGCATAGTTGGGCCAGAACTACCCAAGGTTCTCATTTCTACTTTCATCTCAACTCTCACTAGCACCCCAGGCCAGAAGTTTTATTTATAATTTCCAGACCCATTTATCTGTTCTTGTTTTATTACAGACTTACTGACCTGAGTAAGGTCCACCAGCATGTGTCTGTTCTCATGGATTCTGTGAATGCCAGTGCTAACATCCTGAATGATATGTTTTACAGCCAAGACAGTGGCAGTGAGGCAGGTGCAGCTTCCTGCATTCCCCAAGAGGTAAGAAAGGAAAGGGAAAATGAAGAGAAGGAGTCAAACCAAAAAGGAAAGGGGAAGAAAGTGAAGAAAAGTGAGCCAGAGGCTGGGTGGATAAACTGGACAAATGATATGACAGGAAACTGATCAATAAAGTAGAAGGGAAAGCAGGTATACCTTGACTTGTTACAGGTTTAGAGTGGTTACTGGGGAAATCCCATGGCCGATTTCATCAGTGTGAGAGCTAGCCCTCTTCCTGGTAGCTACACTGGCCTCAGGAGAAATAGCCAATGGATGGAAAGAAACTTGGCATTGGCACATTCTCATCCCATGTGGATCCCTATATAACCTATTAATGTGACACTTGCCATTGAAACCTGAGCTCTAGGCTGCCTTGGTTTCCCTCCTAAGGGAAAAGTCCAGATGAGGATATTTGATGTGCCATCCCATGACTTTACCCAATTCCAGAAGATTGAAGTCGTTCTTTTTAAAAAGTAACTGTAGTGCTAGGTAAACAATACAAAATACAAAAGGGCCACATATAGGATCAGAGCCTCCTATAAAGTAGTTTGCTTATTTATTTTCAACCAGACTTAGTTGGTGGAGGCCTGAAGCTCAAAACCTGGAGTTTTAAAAAGAGATGGTTGGGCCTAACCCCACCTACCATGGGAAAGGTGGTTTTAGTGTAGCAGCAACAAGTAGACTCAGATTTACTCTCTGGTTTACATATTTCCTATTTCACTATATCCACACCAGTCAATCAATGGTACCAAATGCCAAGGTGTGCCAACCACTTCACAGGACACACCAATACAACTATACCAGTAGTTGACATCTCTGGTTCTGTCAGTTCTGACTGGTTGATGTCCTGCTGTAATATTTGTGCTATATTTTGAATATTACTTTTTCACCTACAGCCATATCCTACTAGCCTGCTCCTACCTTCCTACAGAGAAGTCAGCTGGATGCTTACTAACAAACAACTCCTCTGTCTTTGTCCTTTCCCTTCCTTCCTTCTCCTTTCTTCTCTCAGACTCTAAGCAGAAATGATGCAGTAGATGTTACATTTAGTCTTAAAGGGCTCTACGATGACACTAAAGCTTTCCTGGATGAAAACTTGGTGAGTGGAGGGGGTTGAATGAGGGAGGGCAAAGTATTCCATTTGAAGATGGTCATGGTCAATGCTTGGTTCTAGGGTGTTGGAAGACATGTAGGAGCATTTTGGCCAGGTGCTTACCTGGCAGTCCCTGCTGTGTCATCCTCACCCAGAGTTGTCATTGATTGTATCAATTCACAGGTTATGCTAATTCATAGTGAGTATGATATCCTTGAAGAAAATCTCTCCCCTCTCCTTTGGCAAATGTCTCCTGGGTCCAGACCAGCCCAATCAAAAGTAAGGTCTTCTCATCGTATTAAGTGCATACCTGGCCTGGCACATAGTAGCAGCCTGATAGATGGTAGATTTTATTAGTGTTAGGGAAAATGAACTGAAACTCAGTTTTTTGAACTACAAGAATAGTTTAATGTTTCTCGTAATGCAAAGCCCATAGTCATACTGGATGAGTATGCTCTGATGAGTCAACTGATCATGACCACCCCACTTTTGGGTTTGCTGCTAAAGCCCTGAGGCAGGTGCTGTTCTTGCCTCTCATCTAATTAAGTTTTATTTGAAGAGGGGCTTCTGAGTTGATATTGCAAGAAGTGCATCCACTTCCCCTTTTCCATTTGCACATCTAATTGACACACTGCACAGGTGGCAGAGTGGCTAAGGCAATCATGACAGGCTGTCCCAGCATCTGAGCCCCAAGCTACGATCTTTCAGCCTTAAACAACAGCAACAGAAGTATCCTCTATATATAGGCAGAGCTCAATGACCTTGCCAGTCTGAGCAGCAGGAAACATGGAGCTTGACCTCTCATGGCCAGTCAGGCTTTCTTGAAGCTCATGGCATGAAAATTGGTTTGTGCCAACCAACAACCTGAACTGAGGATATACCACACTTAACATAGGGTAAGGACCTGATAAGGACCCACACACACATACATCCATCCAAATAAGACTAGGGGGCAGGCAGCAGCTAACTAAGAATAATCATGTATCTCCAGAAAGGCTGTCAGAAGTGACATGGAAATAAAGCTTATTTCATTTTGATGTTGTTATTCTTCCCCTTGAAGGAGGGCAGTAAGCAGCTCAGTGTTGACAGAGGGATGTAGATTTATGATGAAGCAAATCCCACTCCCACTTTCTTTATTTGTCAACCTCAATTATGCTATGGCCAGTGATATGTTAGAACAGGCACCAAGACGGACACCTGGGTGGCTCAGTGGTTGAGCATCTGCCTCTGGCTCAGGTCATGATCCCAGGCTCCTGAGATCAAGTCCCATATTAGGCTCCCCATAGGGAGCCTGCTTCTCCCTCTGCCTATGTCTCTGCCTCTCCCTGTGCCTCTCATGAATAATTAATACATTCTTTTAAAAAAAAGAACAGGAACCAAGAAATAAGGATTGACATCCTCTGAGTCAGTCCACATATTTACCTCAGAGATTTCTGGACAAAGGCTCCAGTAGAGACAGAAGGAGAGTAGGATAGAGCATGAGACTCAAACACACCACCTACAATTTTTCAGAGCCTGTCTCTGGATGCTAAACAGGAAGTCATTAGGAAGCCATGATTAGAAATAATTTTCCAAGGCCTCAAATCCCTTTTTCTTCTCTGTGGCTTTGGATTTGACTACCAAATCCATTTTGAGCATTTTTGGTAAGTATACCCCCAATGCACTCCCTGCTCCTTTCTCCCTTGAAGTGATAGCCATTTCTACCTGACACCTGCTATCCCCCATCCTACTGCCATGTGCACACACATGTCCTGTGCATCTGGGCTACTCTGTACTGTCCTAAATCATTGGTTGCAAATCAAAAAATTATTTGTCAGGACTGACTTGTTTCTCACATCCCAGCCCTTGCTCCAACCAAATCCCCCACTTATTCACCTGCCATCCATCTGTGATTGTTGGCAAGGCTCCATTTATAGCTGGAGCATCAAGTAGCCCATGCACAGCTAGAAGCTACATAAGTGCCAGATTTAAAGTAAAGTATATGACAGGAAGGAGAGGTGAGGCCAAAATATGTGGGCTGAAAACCATGTCAGGGCTGATGATAGAAACACACATCTATCTGTTCTTTCAGGTCACTAGTAAATGGAACATGAACTAACTCAGCTATGATGCTGATCTAGGACTTGTTTCTTCTGAGTTAGAGATGGCCCCAGAAGAATTCATTTTAACTCTCCCATGGACTGTACAGAGTTCATCCTGTGGGTTCTGGGGGTTATTAGGGAATGCTTAAGCTTTGTTTCTTGAACCTGTGGGACAAGCCATCTGGATCTCATTTATTAATTACAAAGAGTGACTAGCATAGGGGCTAAAGCACAGCCTTGGGGAGGCAGACCCTCTTTGACAGAAAGGAAAAATTTGAGCCAATCTCTCTCCAGCTTTCTCCTTGCTTCACAAAGGAGCCTTTACATTATGGTAACTGTCTAATAAAGATTCCCCCAGCATCTGGCCACCCCACATATCCTTTCTGGGCAATGTGGTATATAAGGTGGGCTATAGAGTTAAACAGATCTGAGTTTCTGTCTAGGTATGTGATCCTGAGCATCAAACTACTTTGAGTCTCTTTTCTTGCCTATAAAATGAGACTAGTACTTTGTAAAGTATTATAAAGTTATTGGGAAGATAGAATGATATCACATATGCACAATGACTGGCATACAGAATGGACTAGAAATTGGTAGCTGTTATTTAGAGGGACACTTAGATGTCTCCAGGGACTTGAGGATCAAGAGTAAGACCCTTTTTCTGGACCCTAAGCTGTAGGAGCATAACTTAAGTGTTAATTCATACTGGTCAAAAGGCCTCTCTGCTTGCCAAACTGTGAGCATGCCCAACTCCACGGAAATCACCACAATATGGTTGTTTCCTGAATCTCCCTATTGAGCAAATAAAGCAGCTAGTTACACTTTCCACTGACCCCATGGCCAAAGGAAATACAAGTTGGCACCCTGGGGTCTCATGGCCACTAGCAAGGACTAAGAGTGTGGGAGGGAGCCAGGGTTTATGAAGGGTGTTAGGCATTGGACACTCATTCTTTTTCCTGTCTTTACCAGCTGAGAAATCCTGAGCATGAGGCCACACTGCAAACTGCCCTGGAAACCATGAATAAGGAGTTTGAAAAGCTATCCGAGATCAACTGGATGAATTCAATCCTTGTTCCCAAGGTATGTTAACTGGGGATTAGGAAATAAAGAGGAAGAGGGCTTCCCTTGATTCCTTCCAGTGTGGGCTGGGACATAGGGACTGATGTAGCAGGTGTCCACTAGTGGCTTTCAGCTTCAGCTTAAATGAGCCCTCTCCTCATCATAAGCAGACAGGACATGACAGAAAGCATATTGAAAAACTAGATGATCATGGAAAAATAACCAAAAAGAAGAGCTACTCTGTGGCGAGAGATGACTGGGAAAGAATAAGGAAGATTGGTTTTTTCTATGCTGTTCTCTGATCGCAATTCCCACTCCCTGCCCAATATCTGCTACTAGGAACTGGATTTTACCTGGCACATATCATTATGACCAATACAAGTTGTTTGCAACTAACATCTGTTTTAAATAGTTGGTGCCTGGCCATATGGGTGGTTAAAACATCTCTCTCTGCTGCTTCCTGTCCCTCCCACTCTGGGAAGATAGTAGGCTCAATGCCTTCCCTTAGCAGGTATGTGGCTTAAAAGAAAGTCATGGCAGCAGTGGCTACAATATAGCTGTGGGGATGCTGTCATTTTTGGAGCATCAGATCAGGAAGAGGAGGAGGATAGGTTTATACTTTTTCTCTAATGGAGGGGATTGGAGGTATAAATATCTTGAAGAAATTAAGATCCCAAAGTTACCTGGAATGTGTTTGGCAGGACTTTTTGGCAACAAAGTTAACCTGGGAATTATGTTTTACTAAAATCAGTGGTAAAATAAGCACACTTTAGCAGGAATAAGAGGGTTGGGAGGTTGGAAGACTAAGCTGGATTTAAAGAGCCTGCATGGTCTGGACAGCAAAGAACCCACATTCATATGTGTGGAGAACCCCCTTTGCATTCCAGACAGGGAAGAAGGTGGCTTGGGAGCAGCTTCTTCCTTATATTGAAGGTATTTGTCCAAGGAAGTGTATTGCAGCTCATCAAACCATATGTCTGAAAGAAGAGATGCTTTTTTTCTAATTCATGCAGAGGTGCCATATGAGTTAGCAGTGTAATCCTAGCAGTCTTACACTTCCAATCCCTGGCCATATGACCTCAGGAAAAATACTTTACCTCTCCAAGCCATCACTTCCTCATTTCTAAAATAGGAGTGATAACAGCCACCTTACAAGGTTGTTTGGGGGTTTATATAAAAATATTTATTAAAGTATTTAGCAAGGAATGTGGCACAGAGTAGGATCTTAGTAAAGATCATTTACCTTCCTAGGGCATGGGAATAATCTCCCACACTTGGATAGATAGCAAATATACCTGCTTTCTGCTGCCATCCTTGTTCACCAACTTGCCAGGCCTCTAGGAATTGTTTCTGAATGTTAGGCAACTAATTTTGACCTTCCTTTTGCTGTGGTTTCCCAGGAAAAATCTTCAGACACTGACAGTAGAAGCATCAGATTGAAAGTTAAGTTCCCCAAATTGGGGAAGACGAAGCTAGAAGAGGAAGATAAGCCTAAATCAGGCCAAAGAGTCCAGGGTTTTATTGGTAAGTGGCCCCCCGCTCACAGGAATAGGAGTCATGAAGACTCCCCCAGCAGCCCAGGTACCTCCCAGGGACCTAGAGCTCCCATTAGAAATGTTCACAGATATTGTGGTGATGGAGGAGGAGATGGCTTGGGAGCCAACCTTAGACAATGCCAAGCAGCCTCTTATACAAACTGTGAGTAAAAAAGTGCTATGGACAGTGGGAAGAACCTGAGAAGGAACCACACTGTGTGGTCTCTGTGATATGGATAGCTGAAGAGAAAAATGAAAACAGGCAGTCACTTTTCTGCTTGACCCATTCATGTCCTTGGTTGATAAAAGTATGGCAAAATAGGCATACTTAGATCACTCGCACAGTCAAATACAGCTACAAACTTTTGGTTGTGCTCCAGAGAACAGTATTGTTTGAGATGGGTTGGGATATCAGTGCTGGGCAGCTACAGGGTGAAGAATAGCTTCTATGACCTATCTGAACACTTTTATTCCTTATCTGTAAATCCCTGGAAATGTAAGTTTTCTATGTTTCATTATTTGAATTCATTATTTGAATCCCTTCTTTGGAGTTGGACTTAAGCATTATTGATGTTAGTGGGGCTCAAAAGAAAGTTCTCCTAGAGTAGTCAGTTATGCAAATTCTGATGTCAGTGGTCTATCCTAAATTTGGGACTTAGATAACATGGAAGCTTGAGAGATATACCAATAATTGACATGGGGGGAAAAGGGCTGGAGGGTGGCTATTTGTTTCAGAGGAAGTGAGAATTTGCACAGATGCCAAGAGAGAATTTCTTGGATCAAGCTATGTTTTCTTAAGTTTGGTTCAACTGGATTGATTTCCTAAGAGTCTTCCAGTTCAGAGACCATGGTGTTTGAAAGTCTTTCTGAAGGCTCTGAAGGGGTCAACACAAGTTCTGTGGAGTGTCAGGTTCTGAGAACTCATCCATTTGTGATTGGCTCACATGGTATCAGCTGGTATTCTTGATGATTCAGAGATAGTTGGTATAAAAGGAACAAATTAGTCTGTCTCCTGACAGGCTCTTTGTTGGCTCTCTTTAGGGTCCATACATTTGGGCATCTGGCAGTGTGCTAACATTATTTCCATACTTGTTTTTTTCTCTAAAGGACGTTTGTGGCATTACAGAAATCGTGAAGATGAAGCAAAAGATGATCCTCCAACATCATCGGGATTTCAACTGTAGTCCTTAAAAGCTGGAAGGAGAACTCACAATGTTTAGAATTCCACTGCAAAACTCTGAAAACCTCACTATAGGCTAGACTAAATTATTTCAGAGCAAACATGAACACCACCAAGAAAGATCCTCCAATTCTTTACACTAATATGCTTTTCCTGGACTCAATCAGGTCTCCTTAGAGGTTTACATTTTCTCATTGGCCAAAGATTCTTGTTCCGAGTTGTTTTGTTCAGTTCTCCTTTTCTGTGCAGCTTGAGCAACTACAGTATTTACTTGGGATAAACTCATTATGAATGGCCTGGGATCTACAGAGGATTCAAGAAAGTTCACCTCTTCAGGGAACTTGGGAACCCTTTTCTCTGATGAGCAGAGAAACTATTGGATGTTAGGGAATGAAAGAAAGAAAGAAATTACTCTCAGGGAGATAAGGAGAGGGGTGAAGACAGCCAGGTTTGGTTGTTTCTACCCCAATCCCTGCCAGTTGCAACTTGTAACTTCAGGAGGACTCTTCTACTTGGCTTTATTAAGATGAGAACTAGGTCCTGGGGGCTTGTCCATTTGCCCATTATAATAACCATGTGAAATCTTTTCTTGGAGACATGGTGGCTGCTTTCTCTGCAAACCCTTTGTGTTTTTCCATGTGTGCATGTATGTCTTTGCACATGTCCAGGTGGTGCTGTGGTGGCTGGATGGGCCCACTGGTTGGAGCTCACCTCTATGGCAACCATACAGGATCCCCTGCTACTGCCTTGACCTTAGCCTGCATGCCGCCACGGAGTGTTTGCCTGTATTCTCGCTGGATTTTTTAACTAAATGTTTTGCCGCTGTGCTGCAGTATAGATTATGTACAGAGACATAAAGATGTATATATATATATATATATTTTTTTTTCTTTTTAAGAACTGAAAATACAACTCAACCTCTAAGTGACCCTATTATTTATTGTGCTAACCCAGGAATCCCTCCCCACCCTGATCCCATCCCCCACTCCCACACATACATGCCTCTACCAACTGCCCTAGTTCTTGGTGGAGCTTCTAATCTTTTGGTGCATTTTCAGCGTCTTAGAAGTGGCTGGGATCTACCTATAGCCCAGCTGATTCTGATGCGCCTCTCCCCCCACCCACCGTAAAATTCTGAGCCAGGCCACGGAAGGGGGAACAAAAACGCCAAAGCCCTAGAGAAGGGGGCTTAGCTGGCATTCTGCCTTTTTTGCCCTATTTATCCTGGACTCTACATCAGCAACTGCCACAAACTGTGCTGTCCCCTTCTCCAGTAAAGACTATATGGAGCAACCAGGCCTTGAGCTCTGTGACTTAGATGCCTGAGCTAGGGACTGCCTGACAAGTCACAACCTAGGCCTTCCCCACAAGCTCCATCTTGGCTTGAGTCTTCTGGACAGGCTGTTGGGTCAGTCCTCAAATGACCTTTGAATCTCCCATCTTGCTCCTTTCCTTTGAGTACAGAGGGACATCCAGAGTGATCAGAAAGAACATGGGCCTAGAGAAATGGAGGCTAAAAGCCTCTGCTTGTCCCATGGTTCTTTGAAATTTCTCATGAAAACAAACTAGGCCAAAATTGCCCCAAATCCCTATTCACATTTTTTGAATGCCTACCCACAGCCAGGCAAATCTAATCAAATACTAGTGTCCAGAGAGGTTCTCTCTGGTCTGCCTTGTATTCCTACTCCACCCCCTTTAACTCATACCTTTCATAAGTGTCCCTTCCTCTTTATCAAGAGAAAGCCAGAAAACTGGCCTCTCCCCACTTCTCAGACAAACTTAGCGTGCTCAATTCCTGACTCAGTCCAATGGCTGGTTCATCGAGGTGCACAATCCAGACTCCAAGCACTGGTTCTGAACTCTGGAACTCCACCAGCCTTGCCCACTTAAACCAGCCACCTGTGTTCCACCTCTGCAGGGGTGAGGAGAAAAATACTAACAAGGGGATAGTCCCTACATGTCTGATTGCTGTGCCAAACAAAAAAGTCCTAGCTCTACAACTAGAGAATAAAGTTAATGGAAAAAGATGAGAGAAAACATTTAAAACTTATTTAAGCATCAGAATATGTTAACTTATTGTATGTATTTGAGTGGGAAATGTGCTGTTGATGTATTGTTGGCTTTCTCTGCATCACTCTTTCTTCCTAGGAGAAGGTATTAGATCAAATCAGCAAGGTCACCATTGCAGCCCAACTTGGCTCCTCTGTGGTTGACGCATTAACACTTGCACACATAGTGACTAACGGAGTTGGGAACCAAGTTACATATTTTCTCAGAAGAGCTATTTCAAAATGGAAAATTTCCAGATGAGCAAATTTTAGGGAACAGAAGGAAGTCCTGGGAGAGGGTAGCTTTATCTTGGCAGTGCCTAAGCAGGGCTGTGTCTTCTATTTTTATCACCGATGATAGTAAACTGTAATAGGGCTCCATCTCTTGTGCTTACTTTGCTATTTGTCTTTGTATATTGTAATGCTACTGTTGCTCTGTGGTACTATCTGGATTCCCTTTCACCCATCCTGTTCTCTCACCCTGAGTCAGAATGATATTGAATGAAACCACTTGGATTTGGGGTTGAAGTCAACTCATGGAGAATTGATAGCTGATGATACCCAGAAGCAGGTGTGGCTTACCAAACCACTTGGTTACCTCCTAAATTGCCTAATTACCAATTGATTCCCCAAAAGGAAGACAGCTTGCTGAGCACCTTAAATGTATTATCTTAGAAACAAAGCAGGAAGTGGTGATCTCTTTCTCAAGGGAGTTGGCTAACCCTCCAGAAGCATAAGCTGCTTTTAGAGCTTCATTGTTAACTGATTTCAGTAATATAGTTGCTCGGGTGGTGGAACCAGACACCAAATATCCATCTTAATTATGTTCAGAGATGCCATTAAGAGCCAAAGTTCTGGGGTTTGGTTGCATCTTTGGTAGTATTTTCTGAGGGTTTGGTTGAGTGGGCAATTCCCAACCAGAAGAATCATGGGGAAAGAGAATACCAATAGATTTGGACTGCCATCAAGTGCTTCTGGTATCAATACTACAGGAGGCCAGCAGCTTTCAATCCCCACTCCCAAAAGGGCCTGTGCTGTGTCCAAAAGGGCAGGGTAAGAATAAGGAAGGCATTTTCAACTTAATAACTTAGGTTATAGGTTGATCAGAAGAATCAGTTAGGGTCAACATCATCTTCCCTTGGGACACAAGTGGAAGAATTTTAGCTTTATAAGAGGTAGAAACTGATACCAAAGCAAACAAACCCATGAACACCATTCCATCCTGTGAAGAACCCTGACTGGCTATATGGTTTATGGAATTGCATTTGTCTGTCTGCTAATCTGTAATCCATGCTGTTTCCTCTTCTGTGTTTTTTGTTTCCTCACAGGTCCCTGCAAATAAACAGCAGGGCCAGGGTCTGGTTGGGGGAGGAAACTAGGGTAGTTAGGGGTAATAGAAAAAAGCAGAAAGAAAAGGTCTATAAAGTGTGCCTATTCCTCCTCCCCCCCCCAAAAAAAATGGAACACCAGTCCTCAAAATTGAGAAAGTTTTGCTTCATAAAATATTTTAATAAATGGATAAATATAATCAACACCAGTGTCTCATCATTTACCTCAGCATGGGGGGAGTTAAACGAACAGGAATGGAAATGGGAGGTGGGTTTGGGTAGTCATCCAGACTCTAAATAAGTCCCATGCACATAGGGATAGCAGGTTAAGAGGACAGCAGCAGCACAAAGCCAAGAGTCTCCATCAAGATAATCCTAACACTGAAACAGCTACCACAGAAAATTCTAAAATCTAACCACAACTGAAGGCAATCCTGTGGGGAAATATCTACCACTGTAACTGTAATTGTTCTAGAATTCAATTTTCTGCAGGATCCAGATTTCAAGTAAATGAGTTAGTTACTGGAAAGGTGAAATGAGGTAGAGGAGTACAGCCCAGACTGCTAAATAGATGCATAAGTGCAAAAAGCACCTTGAAAAACATTTGAAAATAAAATCTGCCCCCCACTAAGACATTTATCACGTAACTCCTCTCCGTTCCAAAACGTTTTGAGGTGGGAAGAAGTGTTGTGTTCAGATGAAAAAATGGGTTAGGCTCAATTAGGATCAAAATCAGTTCAATTTTTGGCCAAACAGGGACTCTGGGGGTGGGGGCAGTTATTGGTCACATTTCATAGGTAGGTCACTGAGACTGTATTAGACCAGGATTCCACAAAAATGCTAACCCAGAGTGAGAACTCAGATCTTGTAAATCCTTGACTCTCCAATATTAAAATCTGAAAGACAAAAAAGTATTTTTATAAAGATTTTATTTATTTATTCATGAGAGACACACACAGAGAGAGAGGCAGAGACTCAGGCAGAGAGAGAAGCAGGCTTCATGCAGGGAGCCTGACATGGGACTCAATCCCGGGTCTCCAGGATAATGCCCTGGGCCGAAGGTGGCGCTAAACCACTGAGCCACCTGGGCTGCCCAAAAGAAAAATTCTGACCTTCAGGACCACATTTCAGTCTACCCACATAAAAATGACATTCTTAGGCTTTATGAAGGAATCAGCCCTGTTGCTGAGGAACTACCACCAGAGTGGGCTCTGTAATTCATATTAAGAAGCTTAGACTAATCCTGTAGGCCAGTGAATTACCATCAGAATACAATTTGTCTTGTTTTTTTTTATTATACAGTAAAGTTATTATACAGTAAAATTGCTTTTTTTGGTGTATGATTCAGTGAATTTTCACACATATAGGCATTCGTGTAACCACTACTACTATCAGGATTCAGAACAGTTTCCACTGCCCCAGTAAATTTCTTGAGTCATTCGTGATTTAAAGACATATTCCTTAACCCTAACTCTAATCTCTGAACTATTTTCCATCCCTACAGTTTAGACCTTGCAAGAATGTCATAGAATATGTAACATTTTGGGATAAGCTTATTAAACTCAGTATAAAGGCTTTCAGATTCTTTCAAGTTGTCATGTGAATCAAGTTTGTTCTTCATTGCTAAATAGTATTTCATTGTATGGAATATATTTGTTTATCTATTTACCAAAGAACAGGTTGTTTCCAGTTTGGGACAATTATGCATAGAGCTGTTATAAACATTAATATTCAGGCTATTGTAGTCACTTCTCTAAGATAAATACCCAGGAGTAGGATTGCTAGGTTATATCATAATGCATGTTTCAATTTAATAAGAAACTTCTAAACTATTTTTTTTAGAGTGTCCCATTTTGCATCCAAACTAGCACCGTTTGAGAGTTTTACTTGCTCTACATCCTCACCAGCTCTTGGAATTTAGTAATTTTACTTTAGCCATTCTACGAGATGTTTAGAGGCACCTCATCATAACATCATAGATGATGTTAAATATCTTTTTATGTGCTTGTCATACTTAAATCCTCTTTGGTTAAGTGTTCAAATTCTTTTCCCTGTGTTTGTAATTGTGTTTTTCATTTACTTATTGTTGGGTTTTCAGAATTCTTTATATATTCTGCATCCAAGTTTTTTGTCAGATATATGATTTACAAATATCTTTCACCAGTCCGTAGTTTGTCTTCTCATCCTCTCAAGAATATTTTTCAGAGGAAAAATGTTACACTTTTATAGAAAGAATAATTCATTTTTTTCTTCTATGGATTGCACCTTTAGTGTCATATCTAAAAATTCCTCCTCTAACTCAGTAGTTCTCAACCAGGGATAATTTTGCCACAGGGACACTGGACAATTGTTTAGGCACATTTTTTGTTGTCATAGCATGAGAGGGGGGTGCTACTGGTATTTAATGGATAAAGGCCAGAGAAATTGCTAAGTGTCCTACAATGCACAGGAAAATTCCCAAAACAAAGAATTATTTATCCGGCCTAAAATGTCAATAGCACTGCTGCTCAGAAAATCCAATTTAACCCCAGGTCATAAAGATTTTATGTTGAATTCTAAAGGTTTTATAGTTTTATATTTTACTTTTAGATATATAACTCACTTTGAGTTAATTTTTGTATAATGCAATGTTTATTTTTTAAAAAAAGATTTTATTTATTCATGAGACACACACACAGAGGCAGAGACACAGGCAGAGAGAAAAGCAGGCTCCATGCAGGGAGCCCTATGTGGGACTCGATCCTGGGACTCCAGGATCATGCCCTGGACCGAAGGCAGGCACTAAACCACTGAGCCACCCAGGGAATCCCCTAATGTAAAGTTTATATGAAGGTTCATTTTTTACTATGTGGATGTCTAATTGTTCTAATGCCATGTATTGAAAAGACTGCCTTTATCACTGAATTGCTTTTACACCTACAGCCATAATTGTGTGGGTCTATTTCTGGACTCTCTATATCATTGTTCTTTCTCTTCTTCATCATAACATACCATATTCATTACTGTAGTTTTATAGTAAGTCTTTAATATGATTCCTTATTTTTTCTCAAAATTATCTTAGCTACTCTAGGTCATTTGCCCATGTAAATTTTACAGTCAGTTTGTCTATATCTACAAGAAGAAAACCTGCTAGGACTCTGACTGGTATTGAGTTAAATTTACAAACCAATTTGAGGAGGGACATCTTTACTAAGTTGACACTTCCATTCCATAAACATGATGCCTATCAATTTATATGATTTCTTTCATCAGTAGCTTGTATTTTCCATCACAAAGATTTTATAAATGTTTTAATAGATTTATACTTAAGCATTTCATTTTTAAGAGCTATTATAAATGGCATTTTAAAGCTTTAATTTCCTTGTACATTGCCAGAATATAGAACTGTGATTGATTTTTGTGTGTTGATCTTGTGTTCTGTGATTTTGCTAAACAATATATTAGTTCTAGGAGGGGTATTTTTTGTAGATTCTTTGAGATTTTCTACAACATAATCATGCCATCTGCAAAAAAAGGTCAATTTTATTTCTTTCTTTCTAATCTGTATTCTTTTTACTTATTTTTCTTGTCTCATTACACTGCTTAAAATTTCCAGTATAATGTTGAATAAGACTGGTAAAAGTGAATATCTGCCTTGTTCCTAATTTTAGGAAGAACATCTTCAATCTTTCACCATTAAGTACAATACATGTACATTTTTGGAGATAATCATTATCAGGTTGAGAAAGTTTCCATCTATTCTTAGTTTATTGATCATTTTTATCATGGATGTTAAATTTTTAACACAACACATTTACATCAATGGACAGATTGTTTAAACAGAAAATGAAATAATGGCTTTGAATGACACATGGGGACAAATGGACTTAACAGATATATTAAGAACATTCCAAAAATAAAAAAGAACATTCCATCCTAAAACAGCAGAATATATTCTTTTCAAGGGTATATAGAACATTCTCCAGAACAGATCACATATTAGGGCACAAAACAGGCCTCTACAAATTCAAGAAGATCAAAGTCATACCATGCATCTTTTCTGACCACAATGCTATGAAACTGGAAGTCAACCACAGGAAAACATCTGGAAAGATAACAAATGTATGGGGGTTAAATGACATGATACTAAACTGGGATATCAATGAAAAATTTTAAAATACATGGAAGCAAATAAGACAACATAGTTATCCAAAATCTTTAGGATTCAGCAAAAGTGGTTCAAAGAAGGAAGTGCATAGCAATACAGGCCAGCCTCAAAAAGCAAGAAATATCTCACATAAAGGAGCTAGGCGAAGAACAACAAATATAGCCTAGAGCCACCAGAAGGAAGGAAATGATAAAGATTAGAGCAAAAATAAATGATATAGAAGCTAAAAATAACCCAAAAGAACAAAACAATGAAACCAGATGTGGTTCTTTGAAAAAATTAATAAAACTGATAAACCTCTTGCCAGACATATCAAAAAGAAAAGAGAAAGGACCCAAAAAATCACAAATGAGAGAGAAGAAATGACAACCAACACCACAGAAATACAAGCAATCATAGGAGAGTATTATGAAAAACTATATGCCAACAGATTGGGCAACCTTAAAGAAATGGATAAATTCAGAGAAACATATAACTTACCAAAACTGAAACAGGAAAAATAGAAAATTTGAACAGACCGATAACCTGCAAAGCAATTGAATCAATAATCAAAAATTTCCCCGCAAAGAAAAGTCAAGTTCATCTGGCTTCACAGGCAAATTGTAGCAAACATTTAAAGAGTTAATACCTATTCTTCTCAAACTATTTCAAAAAATAAAAAAGGAAGGAAAAGTCCAAAATAATTCCAGGAGGCCAGCACTAAACCTGATACCAAAACCAGATAAAACCTCCATTAAAAAAAAAGAGCTACAGGGCAATATCTCTGATCAACAGACTCTTCACTACAGAAATAAACTGATAGTTACCAGAAGGAAGGTGGGTGGGTGAATGGGTTAAATAGGTGACAGGCACAAGGTAGTGTATGGAATTTTTGAATCATTATACTACACACCTGAAACTAATATTTCACTGTATGTTAACTAAGTGGGATTTAAATTAAAACTTTTAAAAAAGACTTCTTTTGTGACCTAGGATATGGTCTGTATTGGTGAATGTTCCATGTGCACTTGAGAAGAGTGTGTATTCCTACTGTTCTTGTGTGTAGTATTTTATAAATGTCAGTTGCAGTCAGTGGATTGATGGTGTTCCAATATCCTTTCTGATTTTGTCTGCTATTTTCCATCAATTACTGAAGCTGAAATTGTAGACTTGTCTGTTCTTTCAGCTATGTCAATTTTTGCCTCTTGTATTTTGAACTTATTAAGAGTAAACATAGTTTGGATTACTATATATTCTCATGAATTGACATTTGTATTAATATATAATATTCCTGTTTAATTATGCATAATTGACAATTTCTTTGCTCTGAAGTCAATTTTGATGTTATATTAACATAATTCAAATTTCTTTTGATTAGTTTCAAATGGTATCTGTTTTCATTCATTTGCTTTTAACCTATCCATGTAATTATTTTTGAAGTTAGTTTCTGTCATTGGCATATGGTTGGGTCTTGTTTTTTAATCCATTCTGACAATCTGTCTTTTTTTAATATTCTATTTATTCATGAGAGAGAGAGAGGCACAGGTACAGGCAGAGGGAGAAGCAGACTCCATGCAGGGGGCCTGACGTGGGACTCGATCTATCCTGGGTCTCCAGGATCAGGCCCTGGGCTGAAAGCAGTGCTAAACCGCTGAGCCACCCGGGATGCCCCACAATCTGTCTTTTAAGTGATATATTTAGGCCAGTTAGTATAATTATTGATATGACTGGATCAAGATTTGCCATTTTACTATTTTTCTGTTTGGTCTCTCTGGTATTATTCCTGATTCCCTTTTCCAGTCTTTTAGATTTGAACATTTTTTAGTATCTAATTTTAATACATCTATTATGATGCTGACATCTCTTTGTATAACTTCTAGTAGTTGCTCTGAGATTACAAAATACCTACCTTTCAAAGTCTATTTACAATCAATATTTTACCAATTCAATTGCAGTGTAAATTCCTTACCAGCATATTGGGCCCTCTGCCTTCTCCACTTTATGCTATCATTGTCTTATGTATTACATCTACATATAATGAAAATCACTTCAGAAAATATTGTATTACATTCAGTCAAAACTCAAAAGAAGAAAAATAGTCTATTATATTTACCCAGGTATACTTCTGTTTTTTTAATTCCCAATGTTCAAATTTCCCTTTTGGTAAAATGTCATTTCTGTAGGAAGAAATTCCTTTTTACCAATTCTTTTTCAGCCTGTCTGCTTACAATGAATTTACTTAGTTTTCCTTCATCTGAATTGTATTTTAAATTTTATCTTCATCCCTAAAGGATATTTTTTGTTGGATATTGAATTCTGGGCTGACAAATCTTTCGATACTTGAAAATTTTCATGTTGCTTCCTTCTCATCTAGAATTTCTGATAATAAACCTGCAGCCATTCAAATCATTGTTCCCCTATATACAATGCATTTTTTCTCTCTGGATGCCTTCAAGATTCTTTTGTCTTATTTTTCATCAATTTAATCATGATGTATCTATCTATGGATTTCTTATGGTTTATCCTGGTTGGAATTTACTCATTTTCTTGAATTTGTTGGTTGGTGTCTTTCAACAAAATTCTCAATTTTTCAGCCACTATTTCTTCAAAGACTTTTTCGGCACTTCTGTCTTTCTCCTCTATCTGAAACTCCAATGGCACAACTGATAGACCTGTTATTAAACTGTTTCACAAGTCTCGGAGGCTAATCTTTTTTTTCTCTATTGTGAATATTGCACAATCTTTATCTATCTTCAAGTTTACTGTCCTCTAACATCTCACTTGCGAATTTTGTCTACCCATGAGGTTTTTAAAATTTGTTATTCTATTTTTTATTTCTAAAGTTTCCACTTGATTTCTACTCCTTTATATCTTCTTCTCTTTATTGGATGAGGCTTTGTAATTTTTTGGTATATATTTTATTGGAATTCTATTTGCCAACATATAGCATAATACCCAGTGCTCATCTCATCAAGTGCCCTCCCCAGTATCCATCACCCAGTCACCCATCCCACCGCCCGACCGCCCTTGCACTAGCCATGTTGGTTTCCCAGAGTTAGGTGTCGGTCATGTTCTGTCACACTCACTGATATTTCCCACATATTTTCTCTCCTTTCCCCTTTATTCCCTTTCACTATTTTTTATGTTCCCCAAATGAATGAGACAATATAATGTTTGTCCTTTTCCAATTCACTTACTTCACTCAGCATAATACCCTCCAGTTCCATCCATGTTGAAGGAAATGGTGGGTACTTGTCGTTTCTAATGGCTAATATTCCATTGTATACATAGACCACATCTTCTTTATCCATTCATCTTTCGATGGGCACCGAGGCTCCTTCTACAGTTTGGCTATTGTGGACATGGCTGCTAGAAACATCGGGGTGCAGGTGTCCCGGCGTTTCATTGCATCTGAATCTTTGGGGCAAATCGCCAGAAGTGCAACCGCTGGGTCATAGGGCAGTTCTATTTTTAACTGGTTGAGGAACCTCCACGCAGTTTTCCAGAGTGGCTGCACCAGTTCACATTCCGACCAACAGTGCAAGAGGGTTCCCTTTTCTCCGCATCCTCTCCAACGTTTGTTGTTTCCTATCTTGTTAATGTTCACCATTTGCACTGGTGTGAAGTGGTATCTCATCGTGGTTTTGATTTGGATTTCCCTGATGCCAAGGGATGCGTAGCATTTTCTCACGTGCCTGTTGGCCATGTCTATGTCTTCCTGGTGAAATTTTCGTTCATGTCTTTTGCCCATTTCATGATTGGATTTTTTTTTCTTGGGTGTTCAGTTTCATACGTTCTTTATAGATCTTGGATACTAGCCCTTTATCTGATAGATCATTTGCAAATATCTTCTCCCTTTCTGTAGGTTGTCTTTTACTTTTCTTGACTGAGTCTTTTATGGTACAAAAGCTTCTTATCTGGATGAAGTCCCAATAGTTCATTTTTGCTTTTGTTTCCCTTGCATTCATACATGTATCTTGCAAGATGTTGCTGTGGCCAAGTTCAAAATGGGTGTTGCCTGTGTTCTCCTCTAGGATTTTGATGGAATCTTGTCTCACATTTAGATATTTCATCCATTTTGAGTTTATCTTTGTGTATGGTGTAAGACAATGGTCTAGTTTCATTCTTCTGCACGTCGCTGTCCAATTTTCCCAGCACCGTTTATTCAGGAGACTTTCCTTTTTCCAGTGGACAGTCTTCCCTGCTTTGTCGAATATTACTTTGCCATAGAGTTGAGGGTCCATTTATGGGTTCTCTATTCTGTTCCATTGATCTATGTGTCTGTTTTAGTGCCAGTACCACACTGTTTTGATGATCACAGCTTTGTAGTACAACCTGAAATCTGGCATTGTGATGCCCCTGGCTCTGGTTTTCTTTTTCAATATTCCCCAGGCTATTTGGGGTCTTTTCTGATTCCACACAAATCTTAAGATGATTTGTTCCAACTCTCTGAAGAAAGTCCATGGCATTTTGATAGGGATTGCATAAAATGGGTAAAGTACCCTGGGCAACATTGACATTTTCACAATATTAATTCTGCCAATCCATGAGCATGGAATATTTTTCCGTCTCTTTGTGTCTTCCTCCATTCCTTTCAGAAGTGTTCTGTAGTTTTTAGGGTATAGATCCTTTACCTCTTTGGTTAGGTTTATTCTTAGGTATCTTATGCTTTTGGTTGCAATTGTAAAAGGCATTAATTCCTTAATTTCTCTTTCTTCAGTCTGATTGTTAGTGTATAGAAATGCGACTGATTTCTGGGCATTGATTTTGTATCCTGCCACACTGCCAAATTGCTGTATGAGTTCTAGCAATCTTGGGGTGGAGTCTTTTGGGTTTTCTATGTACAGTATCATGTCATCTGCAGAGAGGGAGAGTTTGACTTCTTCTTTGCCAATTTGAATGCCTTTTATTTCTTTTTGTTGCCTGATTGCTGAGGATAGGACTTGTAGTCCTATGTTGAATAGCAGTGGTGAGAGTGGACATCCCTGTCGTGTTCCTGATCTTAGGGGAAAGGCTCCCAGTGTCTCCCCATTGAGAATGATATTTGCTGTGGGCTTTTCATAGATGGCTTTTAAGATGCTGAGGAATGTTCCCTCTATCCCTACAGTCTGAAGTTTTGATGAGGAGTGGATGCTGTCTTTGTCAAATGCTTTCTCTGCATCTATTGAGAGGATCATATGGTTCCTGTTTTTTCTCTTGCTGATATGATGAATCACATTGTTTTATGAGTGTTGAACCAGCCTTGTATCCCTGGGATAAATCCCACTCGGTCATGGTGAATAATCTTCTGAATGTACTGTTGGATCCTATTGGCTAGTATCTTGTTGATAATTTTTGCATCTGTGTTCATCAGGGATATTGGTCTATAATTCTCCTTTATGGTGGGGTCTTTGTCTGGCTTTGGAATTAAGGTGATGTTAGCCTCATAGAACGAGTTTGGAAGTATACCATCCCTTTCTATCTTTCAGAACAGCTTTAGTAGAAAAGGTAATGTTTCTTCTTTAAACGTTTGATAGAATTCCCCTGGGAAGCCATGTGGCCCTGGA